AATAAATGCATTATTAAATCAACAACTATTTACTGAAACCTACGTAGATCCCTTCAGTACTATGCAGATTACTTTGTACTCTTCACCTACTAAAAATGTAAACCTTAACTTTTAATCAATTTTTAATTGGAAAGGTAAATAAAAATAACTCATAGAAAAGAATGACTGTTCTATGTAGCAGAAAGGAAAACTCCAGCTTTATTGTTTTTCTCCTCAATCTTAAACTTTATTCATATCTATTTAAACATTAAAAGTACAGTTCAACTTTGGATGCATATAGCACAACATAAAAAGAAAACAAAGGTCCCAGAAACATTTTAACAAAACATACTAGTCTTTGAAGTAATCTTACTCATCACTCAATAATCACAAATGATCCATTTGTTATAAATAAAAGATAAATTCTTCTATAAAACGTAACTATCACTGAACATCACAAGAACAAGTATTTTAGCTATAATTTAATTAATACCTTGCTGAAAAGGACTAGCTGCTGACACAGTCGTTCCTGGATTTCTTCCACCACCAGGCTTTCTTCCCCTCTGACCTGAGCTGTGAGCTGAAGATTTCTTTCCTTTGCCCTCTGACCCTCTAGCCTCTGAAACATCTTTTCCACTAGAGGTATGGGCAGAGACTTCCTGGAAATTTGCATTTGTAAATCGTGCTGCAGTATCTTCCAAACGCTTCAAGGATCCTGACATAGAGTTGCTGCTAGTGCTTGTATAAGTCTAACATTTTGATTGAGAAAAGGAAGTAAAAGGAAAAAGAACTAATTACATTTTGGTGACCAAAAAAAAGATGGCAAATTAATAATTATTGGACATTGTAAGATACTTGTATGAAAGGTACAGTTCTAAAAATAAACAAGCCTACTTAAGAAAATCATATAATCATTTTAAACTCTTAGTGTAACTACTTCTAGAAAAATGTAGATAACAGTTTATAGCATGGCTATTTGAGTAACAATTGCAGCAACAAGTAAAAGTTTATATTAGTCATATTTATTAGGTGACCAACAGTAATACTGGAAGCACTAATTTCTCAAACAACATCATTTTCAGTAAGAACATACTAATTCCTAGACATGAAATTAAACTTAGCTTTAGTGTTCAACACAGGAAGGTGACAATTTAAGAGAATTATAAATCCATACATAAGAGTTATAAGAGTAAGAATCTATTCAATGGCAACTGGTTAGCTTAGGACAGGTCAAGAATTTTTAAAGAATTCAGATGAGGGTTGCTTTTTAAAACCAGACAGATTAAACCCTTTAAAACAGAAACCCTATCTTCCAAGTATTAAGCTGAGAAAAAAGTATTATTCTATAGGGTTAAGACTTATAAAAATTAAACATTATGCCCCAAAACAGATTCAATCACCCCCTTGATTTAGATATAAAAAAGCAATATAAAATTTTTAAAAAATAATTAGCTTCTAGTGTTTAATAATCATTTTTAATACAATGTATGTCCAAAGAATGGCAAATTAAATGATTATGAAAATGTGTTATATACCAGGTATACATTAATCAACATGCTTCAAAATGCGATGTTTGTAAAGTTCACAGGTCAAGGATTTTTCTTGTTAAATTCTCTAAAGTATCCGAAGCACCTATGACACTGCCCGAACATCAAGCACTAAATTTATGTTCAAAAATAAATGGATGTTTTCTTAAAACATCTATCTAAAATCTCTGGTGTGATACAAATGAAAAATCTGAAAATATCAAAACTGAAAATTCCCACACATATCCATTACTCAATACAAACTATCAAATAAATTTAAAAATTGAGAAAGTGACACAATAAAATCAGGTTTCAAAATGGTTGAAGTTTTTAGCAAAATTAATGTTCATAAAGGAGGAATAAGACGCCAAATGTTTTGAAGACTAACTTTTTACAAGAAATACTTGCTCCCCAGTATACTCCCCCATCGTATCACTACCAATACCAGATTTTCATCATCAAATATAAGAAATACTATCTCAAAAACAAACTAATCACTATTCTGCTAAATTATAATTTACAAACAAGCACAAAAGGTTTCAAAGTGAGTTTAGGAAAAAAAACAAAATCTTAAATAACAAACCAATCAGATTTAAGTTAAGATTCAAGGCATACTTTAGAAACATGAACTTTTTCCATGCTAGGCAGATCAATTTGGAAACAACACCACCAGAGTTTTCAAATATATTTTTCCACAGCTTGATCTGACCCTGAGATTCTCCATCCCACTTATACCTGACGGTACACAGGGTCGCTATGAGTGTGAATCTACGTGACGGCAGTGGGTTTGGTTTTTTATATGACCTAGTGAAGGTTAAAAGTTACCTGAAGAAAACACAGTGATATTCTTCTCATGTACACTGTTCATGTATCAAAATGAGAAAAGGAGAGAAAACTAAATGGAGTACTACAAGTGGAAATATACTACTCACTTCCACATGCCAATCTAAATTAGGACTAGTCAATTTTCCCATTCATTTAACGGAATGTCCTTGCTTATCCTGACATATAAATGTGTACATAAATTCAATAAAAATGTTACATTTGCAAAAAATATTACAAAAAGCTATGAATGAAAAGTTACAAATTTCCGTGGCAAAATCACATTAAATAAAACCATAAATAAACATATTATTTAAAAAAAATTTTCCCCACCATCTAAGCTTCAAAGGAGCCCTACTGGTGCAGTGGTTAAAGTGCTCAGCTGCTAACCAAAAGGTAGGCAGCTTGAACCCATCCGACACTCTGCAGGAGAAAGATGTGGCAGTCTGCTTCCAGAAAGATTTAGTCTCAGAAACCCTATGGGGCAGTTCTACTCTGGCCTATGGGGCAGCTATGAGTCAGAACTGAGTCGACAGCAACGGGTTTTGGCTGGTTTTGAAGGATATCAGAGGCTTGTTAATAAGGAAAAAACGAATTTCAGCTTAAGATCCTAACAGTTAAAAAAATTTATATATAATGCCAAAAAAAAGAGCTACGTAGGTTTCACTAAAAAAGAGAACTCTACATTAATTCTACGTTTGAAAGTTAATTTAAGAGTATTTGTTCCATAATATGCTGTTGAAGCAATATGTACCCAATGCTACTGTGGAATACCATTAAATAAGCATAAAACTTAAAAGCAAGGAAAAGAGAAGTGAGAGGAGAAGAAGGTAGGAGATGGCTGAAAGAGGCAAAACAAGCAAGCTTAAGACTGAAGTCACAAAATCTGTTGTTTGCTCAGTCCACTTCACATCCTAAACTCCTCTCATAGTATAAGCATCTCACTGCTGAGTATGATTCTAGTGCTTAAAGTTACTTATTTTTCATGTAACTTAGGCTTCAAACGCAAACCAAGTACTTTATTTGTACTCAGTTGAAGAAAATGTGGTCTTTTTTTCTTTTCCACAGAAGGTAAAACTGGGTATCTGGACATACTTAGAGTCTCTATAGTGGTGCACAAGACCAGGCAGTGTTTCGTTCTGTCATACACAGGGTCTCTGTGAGTCAGAACCTACTCAATGGCACCTAACAACAATAACGAAGTGGTGCATAAGCACTTTGGTTTATACTGAGATTTACAGGCAACTTAAGGAATTTTTCAAAATAGTAATTTTGAATATGTGTTAATTTTTTTTTTTACTGGCTAACCACAATTATTAATCCTCAGATAAGATGTAAGTCTGATACATCAACTAAATAGCATTAACTGAGAACAAAAAATATTTCCTACTTCAAACAAAAATTTTAAATTAGATTCAGAATTACATAATGGCTGTATAATAGATAACCAAAGAAACAGCAGTTATGATATATATTTTTTAAGGTCTGATTGCCTTACATTATTCTATAAGGCTTAGTCATCCACACTGGGAAACAAGCAAAGGGAGGAGGAATAGTCAATCACTGTGCTTTCAACGACCATGATGAAACGTAATATGATGGTTATTATTTTAAAAATAAAATTATGTACTATTCAAGTGTCTCAAAAAAGCCACAGATTTGTTCACTCACCTTAACTCTGAGAACACAGTACAGAAACTATCCAACATGAAGCACAGAGAAAATAAAGACATACTTAAAAAAAAAAAAAAAAACCTGAAGAAATAATAGCAGGAAAAATTATATATTTGATGAAAACTATGAACTCACAGATCTAAGAAGCTCAATTAACCCCAAGCAAGAAAACATGAAGAAAAAAATATATGAATGCATATCATAATCAAACTGCTTATTAATAAAAACCAGTGAAAAGAGAAATGATAAAAGTAGCCAGAAGAAAAAAAGATGCCTTACATGCAAAGACACAAAATAAAGATGACAGCAGATTTCTCCCAGGAAACAATGCCAGCTAGAAAATAGAAGAGCAAAATCTTTAAAGTACTAAAAGAAATAAACTGTCAACCTAAAATTCTATAGCTAGCTAAAATATTTTTCATAAACCAAGACAAAATTTATTTTTTCAGATATAAAAGCTGAAGGAACTAATCGTCACAAGACCAGCACTTTAATAAATGTGAAATGATGTCCTTACACAGAATAAAAATAAATGAAATGTGGATCTACATAAAGAAAGGAAAAGCACTAGTAATGGTAACTTCATAGGTAAATGTTAAAGACTTTTTTATTATTTAAATCTCTTTAAAATACAGTTGTGATTTAGAGCAAAAGTAAAAAGACTGAATCGTGGGGTTTGTAACATACGTAAAAACAAAAAAAAATGATAAAAATAGCACAAAAAGCTAAAAAGGGAAAAATGGAAGTATACTGCTGTAAAGTTCTTATACTATACATGAAGTGGTATAACATCACTTGAAGTCAGACTCTGATAAATTAAAGATGTATACTATAAACCCAAAAGCAACCATTAAAATAACATAACAAACAGTTACTGTTACCAGACAAAACTGAATCATAAAAAACACTCAATCTACTCATCCCTTCCGGAGCAAGGGAGAATGAAGAAAACTAAAGATGCAAGAGAAAGATTAGTCCAAAGGACTAATGGACCACAGCCTCCACCAGACTGAGTCCAGTACAACTAGATGGTGCCCGGCTACCACCACTGACTGCTCTGACAAGGAACAAAATAGAAGGTCCCGGACAGAGCTGGAGAAAACTGTAGAACAAAATCCTAACTCACAAAAAAAGACCAGACGTACTGTACTGGCCTGACAGAGACCGGTGAAACCCTGAGAGTATGGCCCCCAGACACCCTTTAAGCTCAGTAATGAATTCACTCCTGACATTCACCCTTCAGTCAAAAAGCAGACAGGCCCATAAAACAAAATGAGACTAAAGCAGCACACCAGCCCAGGAGCGAGGACAAGAAGGCAGGAGGGGACAGGATAGCTGGTAACAGGGAACCCAAAGTCAGAATGGGTGAGTGTTGACATGTTGTGGAGTTGTTAACCAACATCATAAAACAACATGTGTACTAACTCTTTAATGAGAAGTTAGTTTGTTCTGTAAACCTTCATCTAAAGTACAATTACTAAAAACAACCCAATCCAAAATGTATCAAAAACAGAGAGAGAAATGATGGGCATACAGAAATGGATTGGTAAATGTTAAACATAAACAGACCTCTTTCAATAATGACATTAAATGTTGATTACCTAAATGCCTCAATAAAAAGGCACATTGTCAGATTGAGGACGTATAGGGGTGTGTAGCAAAGCAAGATCTAAATATAAACTGTCTATAAGAAACTCACTTTAAATATAAAAAAGACACAAAGAGAA